AACAATCTAATTGATCACACCATCAACCGTCTAATTTAATTCAACTTTGATCACGATCGCTTCATATGTAACCCTAAGAATTCTTCATGTTATCTGCAACATTCCGTTCATTCAAAATATCAAATCTGCATAATTCCAAATTTGATCATCTTTCGTAAGACATTCACAAGGGTTAAAGAGCCTTTCAGGTTTGAGAACGTGCTTGATCATTTCATAGTTGGATTTTTGGTAATAATCGTAGCGAATGTACCGCAAGGATTACCCGCAATGGTAATGTCACAATTGGCCATAATAGCTAGACGAATGGCCAAAAAGAACGTCTTCATAAAGAAGTTGGATGTGATCGATGAACTGGGTGCAGCGACAGTAATTGCAACTGATAAAACCGGCACAATCACGCAAAATTTGATGGTTTTGACTGATATTTGGTACAATCGTAGACATTATACTGGTTAGCAGCTGCTTTAATCATTCGCGATAAATGTTTACTGCGACCAGCTGGACGTAGAATAAAACTGGTATAAGAGCGCCGTTTCCAAAAGTTGACTCGATTTCTAAGGCTCATGTTCACTCTTTGGTTGACGGTTGGGTATATCTTAAATTGCGTTAGAAGAAGCTTGGGTATCAGAATTGGTTTCGATTGAGACTTGCTTTAGTTCAACGCAGGCTTCGGATGATGGGTGGTGAAATAGCCACAAACTTTCAATTGAAACTTGCTTCAGTTCAGTGCAGGCGATCGTACATTGTCTGCAAAATAGCAAAATAAAATCGAAATATTGTAAACCTTAAGAAGCATTTCTCACTGCAGATATTACCAGTATAATTTAACTCTAGTCCGTCAGTTCTCTTGTTCGGATGGTATCCGTCTTCGATCGCACTTCTTAACTGTACTTATGAAGTCTCATATGATCTATATGATTTCATCCTATTATAATGCTAAAGCTCACAATAATATTTACATACCGTCACGTATTCAAGATCAGTTATCAAGCAATACCATATGAATTGAACTTTCAGGCCACAGAGATGTAACACAATTGACAGTGATGAAGAGTACATCGAGTTGCGATGAACTGGAACGTCCTCTTCCTGATATTCTCACCGTAATGAGCGTTTGCAATCGTGCACACTTCGAGCGATGCCGTAAATCCATGCGTCGTGTGTGGACGCAGCGTGCCCTTCAAAGGGCAGCTAATGGACGTTCACATTTCGTCAATCTCACTAAAACATTCACTGTCATGTAAGATGATCAATTTATCGAACAATTCCCAGCACATTTGCTGTTCGCTAAGCTACCGTGCATGCTACAGTTGAGACTGTCTTTGAAAACGTTTTATAAGGTCGCAAGAAAATGATTTCCATTATCTCCATCATTATCTCATTCAAAAGTAGGTGAATATCTCTTAGGAAGTATCTTATGCAAAGAATGTAACTGACTAAAATGAAACGTAATTATTTATCAAGGTCTCACCCTCAGTGATTTTTGGGATTGATCGGTTGGTTATGTGCGTGATCGATTCGTTGCATTTTCAGTGATGCTGAAACAGGACGTGAATCGATTAGGACTGGCACAATGGACATGAATTCGAATGTGGAAGTGGATAATGTGGACGGTGAGGCTACCTACCCAAGAGTGAGTATTTCGAACGCTTATAACGAGTTTGCGCAGCTATCTAACAATAAGTGTTGTGCATGTTGAACGGAGGTTAGCATGGCAATGCTGTTGTTGAGTGGTACTGACAATTATCACAATGTTCGCTTGGATGCTGGATCGTTCACAGATTCTGTTTGTGGAGTAATCAAATGGAGAGTTCTTTGAGTATCTAGTAATTAGTTATCATGAAGTATCTTCAAATGCTGAATATCATCGGACTGAATTTCTATAGGATGAAGATTCTTGGGAAAGAAACGATATTACTGGTACACCATCAGACGTTGCGTTGATACGTTACGTAGAGATGAATGCATCAGTTGAAGGAATCAGGTCAAGGTATCAGGTGGGGAATATTCAGTCGGCTTCCTCTTTAACTTCATTGGGATTCCAGCCTAAATTATTTCTATGTTTTCGTGACATTTGGCTCTGTTCACTTTTATTTGAGAATTCAGGAATTAAGGTAATGTCGAAAAAAATTCAGATCGTCTTTGATTTACCATTTAACTCAGTGCGTCGTTTTCAATTGACTGTTGCGAAGTGCCTTGCTGAACCACAGTTACCGTACGCGCTTGAAACAGCAACCGAAGAGCAGTCGATCTTCTGCGTAATGGTCAAAGGAGCACCTGAAGTTGTTCTTCATATGTGCAAATATATACAGATCAATGAGGAGCTTCTCGAAGTAAACGATGAATTGATTTATGAATGTCAGGTACATTTTTTAGAAAGATTTTTTTGTTCATTCGGTAAATTCTCATGCGGTTTTTAACTCCGATTCGGTAGAATTATCTTTTGTTGTCGCGACTAGCGCAAAAAGCCAGCATACAAAGAAGATAGTACTTAAATCAAATAGAAATGGTTGAGCAAAGGGCCTATAGTGTAACGCTGGGCTTTGAGGATCCGATCTGTTCAGAAGGCGTGAGTTCGATTCAGAACGCGTCGGTCCAAAATCTTCGACAAAGTTAGATCTCATTCAAGAGATAGTCAAGAGGGCTTAGTTTCGGCATTTGCTAAATAAATTCAGTGCTGTTTTTAAGGGAATTTCTCGATTCCTTGTTTCTTTTCATGAAGTGAGTTTTGCATTAAGGTAGCTTGGGAACACTATGGAAATGAAGGAAGGCGTGTGATTGGCTTCGCATGGAAGCATTTTGTTGCCGAAACGAATAAACGTTTCAGTACGATTGACGATGGACAACCGCAGACTGAACTTATCTTCCTTGGCATGGCAGCTATCATGGATCCACCTAGGTGAGTGCATCAACTTTAAATGATTCTTCAATGAGGTTAATGTCGACGATGAGAACAACTGCATTGGAATATCCGATTATATAGAATTTGAGCTGAGGAAGTGGATTTCACGGATGAAAAAGCGAGAAATTGACAATAATTTCAGAGACGATGCAGCGATGGCCATTAAACAGTGCAAAGATGCCGGCGTGAAAGTCTACATGATCACAGGTCTTTACGAATATACTCTTAACTCATATGAACTTCTTAGAGTTTTACGCTCCATTTTCCAAAATTTCTGCTCTATGATTTTTGGTTTGTGAATTTCTGTTGTTTATTTGCTGATAAGCTTCATTCTAAGCAGTTCTTGAATCGTAAGCATTTTCCGATCTAACGTAACTTTAGGCGACCATCCGACTACCGCTGTAGCAATCGCGCGTCAGATTGGTTTAATCGGTTTCGGTCCAAGTGATCAGCGGGTGAGAATTGATATTATCATTGTTATTTTTATTGTTCTGCTTGCGATTATCATTATCATTATTACTATTCTTGTTGTTATTACATTACTATTATTACTGATATCAATACAATTATTGTTGCTGTTGTTTAAGTTCCTTTCATCAAAATTTTATGATTGCACATTCAATGTGCCTTAACAGCCATGTATGTATCAATAGCTTTTATGCACCTGAAGAGTTCGCTTAATGATTTCCATTCGTTTTCTTCAGTTGGTGGTAATTTTTGATGTGATTAAGATAACCGTTGCCAGTGGTGGTCGTCAAGCGTTGAAGTTGAGTGTTGTTGAGGGTCGCGAAATAAATTGGGCGATTGCAAGTGGAGAAGATTTGGCGACGATGAGTGTTGAACAGTGGAATGCGCTATTAGCGCATAAGTACATCGTGTTTGCGAGGTTGGTGTGTTCTTTAGAAGCATTTTCTTTGCGGATATTGCGAGCGATTATTGTCAAATTATGTTACTAAAA